TTTCAATTTTTTTTCAAAATTTTAATAATGTGATGTAGATATATCTCCGTTTGCCCCATTATTTCAAATTTTAATACGTTGAATAATATTTTTTTAGAGAATGAGTGGTTGAAAAAGAAGGAAAAAATTTCGAATTTTAGTGTAATATTATTTTATAGAAAATTATGTGGTTGAAAATAGAAAAAAGAAAGATAAAATTTAATTTAATGGGGGCCAAGGTGATAAAATGATAATTATGATGGATGTAAATAGCTGTTAGAACTTTCGTTCAATTGATCAAACTACTAGTTTTCGCGGCAGAACAGTATTAACAAATGTCAGTTGTACTCGCTTCTTTTCGCGGTCATTTCTTCAAACACCTGGTGTCTCGTTCCACCGCCGCTTTCTCTTCCGTCCGCGTCCACCATCGCACTTCACCGAGACGCTTCCCGTTCCCCTTATCCGCCCTAAATCCCACCCTAGTGGCACTCCACCAGCCACCACGGAGGCGCTCTTTTGCCACTGTTAATTATTCAACGATACCATCAACTTCTAATTCGGAACGTTCAGAGACTAGCAAGGGTTCTTTCGCTTCTCCTTACCTCTCCGTTAGAATTAGTTGCAGAAAAGATGTTTGTGTAAGCTCCCCTAATTCTCCTCCACTCCCAATTGTTATCATTATTAGAACCATCCAATTTCAAGACTAATTTTGTGGTTATTAGGATATGCTTTCGGAGGCCCTTTTGTGTTTTGGAGCTAGCTCTGTCACCATTGATGAACAAGAATCATATGGGGACAATGACGAGGTAGCGAATGACATTTTTAATTATTGCTCGTCCTCATCACTATAGTAATTTCTGCTTTATTGGTGGATAATGTAGTAGTCCTAAATTGCCACTATATGCAGATACGGATCAGTTCTATATTTACTGTAAGTCAGGATGTAAAGGAATGCATTTCACAAGCCACGGATTCCATTGGCCTGAGAGAGATGCCTAATTATGAAGTGGAAATGCACGATCATACTGATTGGATTAAACAAACTCAGGTTACTTACAATTTATCCCATTGTTTTCTTTTTCCTTCCTTACTCTAAGTGACCCTTTGAAAACTGAGAGTGCACGGCATTGTGATGAAATAATATAATGGTTAATTAAGTGTCGAATCCACGAGGCCTACGTGTTTTATAAAGTTAATAATACTCTTAATCGAATAGCAATAATGAGTTATAATAAATCTATGTCTAATTTATCACGTAACTAGAAATCAAAGTAAGAGTTTTTCAAATTTTTGAAATGCATTACTAAGATGTAGAATCTCAATTATTCCATTTTTAGTACAACAATTAAAATGACTTATCGTTATCATGCGAGTTGGGCAAAGTTCCAAATTTATTTAAAAGCTTCTCTCGATAACAATTAAATCTAATCCTATATGTGACATTTCTACGTCTCTATAAAAGATACCAACATATAAGAATGTATAAAACGAGATCGAACATCTAGAAACCATGTGAAGCATAGATGTATATCTCTATCTTCTATCGAATCTCATAATGCTTATTACTACGTGCTAACGATCCTATTATCTCTCTCGATGACAATAAAATTCACAAACAATTCAATTAATGACCAATTAATTTAAAAGCAAGCTAAACCATAATAAACATCCAAACATTCAAAGAAATTAACATCAAGCTAATTTGTTTAAACTAAAAATCTCATAGTAAGTGTTCATCTCATTCTAGCAATGTATACAACTAGCCTAACATATCAAAATTATAAGAAATCATATTTAAATTGAAAGATATAACCCGAATTTTTTATAAATTGAGAAGATGAAGATGAATCTTGAATCTATTTAATGATTTCTTGATGAATCTCCACTTACACTTTCTCTTCTTTGCCAAAAAATCAAGTTTGAATTTTCACTTGATTAAATTCTTGCAAGTCTCCTTCAATTCTCTCACAAAAGCTATGAATTCTCCTCCTTTTATGATGATAATAATTGATGAGTATTGAAGTATAATATGTATATGAGAGGTCTCTAATATGTATTCTCCTGTTAGGTATTTGTAGGAGTAGAAAATTGGTTGAAAATCAAGTCCAAATTGATTTTCAAAAGAGTCCTAATCGAATAAGGAAAGTTGCATTCGTGCACGAATTTTTTGTCCATGTACAATTATCAGTATTTTGATCATAACTTTCTCTCTCGATATCTGATTGAATCGATTCAAACTGCGTTGAAAAGTTGACTCAAAAGGTTACAACTATTGGTATTTACCTACATAACATAAAATACAACAATTTATGGTATATTTTGTCAAAATAATTACCAAATATCGATATTTTAGCCCTGAATAAGTGTATAAAATACACTTATCACTAAGCTTATAAACTCTCTTTACTACTTAATTTTTTGAATCTTATAAGTTTGTGATCATGACATTTCATTCTGTGCAAAGCAATATAAATCCATAAGCTAAATTTTACTTAATGGATGATGAGCTTCCAAGCTTTTTCTATTTCACAAACTTTCTATTGAATCTTGAGGTCCGTTCATTTGTTTTTGTATGAATTATCTCTATGTAGGAATCTTTTCATCCCGTGAAAGTTACAGATGGACTTTGGGTTGTGCCGGAATGGAGAAAACCCCCGGTATGCTTCTACCTGTTTTCTGCTTACATTGTTCTATCGTTATTGCTGATTTCAATACTTTGCAGCTGTTGTCAAGCCAACTGTTCTTTTTGCTAAAGATGACACATTATAATCTTGCACGGAACACAGTGATGAAGTTTGACCAATGGCCACATTAATTTTATATACATATGTCAATTTTGTATGCTTGAACTTACAGGATGTACAAGCAATAAATATAGTTCTGAACCCTGGTTTGGCATTTGGAACTGGGGAACATCCTACTACGAAATTGTGCTTATTGCTACTACAAAGTTTGATAAAAGGAGGAGAATATTTCCTGGACTACGGCACAGGATCTGGTATTCTTGCAATTGCAGCACTTAAGGTAGTTTGCTCTTCACATAGCATCTGTTTTTAAAACTTTTGACTTTTGTTGATGTGGAGAGCCTTTAACTTGGAATTTTTGAAAACTGGATGCTAAATCAGGCTAGTGATACAATATGCTTGTTATTTATTATTGGACTAGTGAGGGGCATCCATTAAGCACAGTAATGATGACCCAAGACAACTTTTTGAGGTAATTTTGAGCTGGAAGATAAATTAAACGTGAATTTTTGAAGTCTCTCTTTAAACTAATTAAAATACTGAGCTTAGATTAAGAGTTACTTTTCTCACTGATTCTAGAATGGGAACTTTTCTAGGCTTGGTATTTTGTATCTTGTATCTGCTTCGTTACCGATAGACAATGTAGAACAACAAAACTTGGTAAGCAAGCACTGCACCTGAAATGATGATGATGCTCATAAAATGAGAACTAAATACAAATCCCATGTTTGTCTAGGAAAATGAGTTTTGAAATAGTGATTTTTTTGAAGAACATGTGGTTAAAAGTAGAAAACAATTTTAAGTTTACGTGCAAAATATTTTATTATGAAAATGTGTGGTTAAAAATGAATTTGAGAAAAAAAGAGTTGAAATAATGGTAGACAAGCAAGGAGTAAATATTTATTCAAAAGGAGAATCCGAACTGTAGGACATTGCCGGATAACCATTTGATATTTTTGATGGTGTTGGGCTGCTTGATATTGTTAATCTATCATTAGATAAATCAGAGTTGGAGAGCGTTATTTTTAATGCTAATAAAGAAGCAGATGGTGGTAATGTTGAAGAAAATGAAGTTGGAACAATTAATGATTAAGATAAAATACTTTAATATTTTATTGTATCAGCATACCGTACCGTATTTTATAGTATTCGAATTACGTATCCAAATTCGTGTCTTAGATCGTGAATTTAACATCTTTTATTTATTAAATGAAAATTTCACAGTGCATATCGTCTGGATGGTACAGCTTTTCAGGTGGACTAGTAAATTGAGTGTATTGTCAAATTTGTCATGTAATTAATTGTTCAATTCATTTGAGTTCTTGATAGAGTCAGGCTTTCTTTTGTTCAGAAATTTCCTAATTGAATGCGTTATGTACTGCTCACTTCCCACTTAAATGCTTAGTTATGACTATTGAGCTGATTTTTTAATGCTCATTTTATGGAGAGTGCAGTTTGGTGCAGATCGTTCAGTTGGATTTGACATAGATCCTCTAGCAATTACATCTGCTCGACAAAATGCTGCTTTGAACAACTTAGAACCAGACAAGTTGCTTTTAAGTCTAGTTCCAAGCAAGAATGATCATGCCTTTGATAGTGGATATTCACACGAAGACATGAGAACACAGGATTTATACAATGCAAGGATCATTGCTGAGATGAACAAGTATGATGTAATTATTGCAAATATACTATTGTATCCTCTACTAGATTTGGCAGAAGCAATTGTCTCCTATGCAAAACCAGGTGCTGTGGTTGGCGTCTCTGGTATCATATCCGAGCAGGTACACTTTGGTAAATATTGCACATGTCATCTAGTTAGCAATGGTCAAGAAAAATTAGGCATAACACAATAAATATATGAGATTATGAACGATCACGATATCTTTAAACTTAGAGGAGGTTTGATAAAGTTTTGATAAAAGTTTTAGCAAATGTTGATAAAAGTGGTTGAAATATGTGGTTAAAATTGAAGTTTGACCAATTGAAAAGTTAAAAAAAATAAATTTAACAAAGTTCATCAAACAAGCACTTAGATAATTAATAAAGAAGTGGAATTTTAGAATTATAAAACAATAGTTATGAGAAAACGATAGATGGTAACAAAAATTGAACTTCACTTTTATCGTTAAAAATATTCTCTTCATTCAAGACTATCTTGAAGTAGATAGCGGGATCCTAGTCAAATATATGCTTGGAGTCTTAGACCAAATTTTGATGACACGTTAATTTCTTATGTAGGTTCCTTGCGTCGTTGAACATTATTCTAGATTTTTGGAGGACATCATGGTGTCAGAGATGGATGATTGGGCTTGCATAAGAGGTTCTAAGAAGAGAAATCTAAGCATAAGTTGAAGATATAAATTTGATGTCCGTGAAAGTCAGGGTGATCACCGTTTCTTGGACTCCAAATTTTGATGCAAATGTAGTTTAGATGTAATAAAAGTTCAATTTCATGGAGTTGCAAGTGTACATTGTAGCAGAAACATGAAAAACCAAGACGACTCTATATGCACGTTTCGTGAACACAATATAAGCCTTTTCTTTCCATTCTGGAGTCCTATTCCCTGGGGTATTTTTGTGAGAATTTATCTATTTCACAATCACGTGCACGATTTATCTTGTTCGCGAAGTGGCACTTGTACGCAAGACATTGACTACTTGAATTTTGTCCCAACACTTCTGTTCCGTGTAGAAGAAAAAACTCTACAGAAAAGCAGATTTCCGTGTCAATAACCCCTGCCTGGATGACGATGTTTATATAAAACTAAGTTATGAGATTATTACGTTAATAATTACAAACGAACCAACGTGTATTGGAATTATCATATGGTTCTATTTCCTGCAAAGAGGCGTCTGGATATTGGCTACTTCGATCTAATCCCAAATACGTGTAGTATGCTGACTCATTCGTAGGAATCCCAAAGATACAAATGGCCTAATTTGTAATTGATAATGGGTGGGTGTTTTTTCCAATTAATGTGCCAAGGAAAAGTCTTTGTTAATTAGAATAGTGCTAAGCTGGCAGTATTTTAATCACTAATCATAACTCTGTTCTTCCAAGTCTGAGAAAATGAATATATAACTTGATGTACATGTCATTGTTTAGACTTTGCTACTACATCATCCAGTTGAACAATTAAAAAAAAAAAAACACCAATTATTTGTTGACAACAACGCAAACGTGAACCATGTCTTATTTTTTCCTTCAATCACATTATTCAGCGTATTTTGCAGTGTTTTCTGCTGACGTTTTTCCTTCCTCCCATGAAAACTGGTCCTTCGCAAACCTTGTATAAGACTTCTTCGAATATCACGAAAACAACATGAGACTCTTGCCAGGTTATGCCGCGTGAGCGTGGAGTACTCTCAACCACACACACAAGTACCATTCTAGACGGATAAAACAAACCGATGCACAGAAAAACCACCCATCCAAAATCTCTCACAGACAGAATTTCAAGAAAATCAGTTGAATTTTGATAAAAATAGCCACCCAAAAATGGAGGATTGGAAGAAGCAGAATTTGGATATTGAAACTCCAAATAATATTACTATTAAAGGGATTATTGGGTTGTTAATGGGTAATACTGATTGCAATGATAATCGAAAAGTGATTTCTTTGGGAATAGGGGACCCAACTGCTTATTCGTGCTTCCATACAACTGCTGTTGCTCAAGAAGCTGTTGTGGAGTCTCTGCGTTCTACCAAGTTTAATGGTTACTCTCCCACTGCTGGACTCCCTCCAGCCAGAAAGTAATAAGATTTGTTTATAATTTACTTTTGAGCTATAATCTTGTAAGTTAATTGTCATGGAAAAGGGACTCTTTCACGTGTTTCTAATTTGATTTTGTGGATTAGTTTCTTGATTTTTCAGTTTGAAAATAAAGAAATTAATTTACCGGGAAATGGATTTCGTGCTAAACTTCTCTTTATCTCCTGATTATTATATTCCAACTTCGAGTTATACTTCTCCTTGTGAAACTCTGCTTCCAACTTTCTAAATTTACCATAATTGGGTTCATCTAATCTTTCAATCACAAACAATTTGTGTATCCATCATCTTAATGTTTAATGGTGCCTCTAACCTTAATTTATTTTGGAAATTTTGTAGTTGCGCATTGTAAAAGTGAACACTGAAGGTGTTAATCTTTTTTTTTTTTTTTGTACTATATGTGAAGTGCAAGTAAAAGTATGCTTTGTGTAATGGTTATGGTAGAGTAGTTGGATCCACATTGTTGATACAGTCTGCTAGTAGTTTATCTCTACCATGTTTATTGTCGTTCGCAACTAAGTTTCGTATTTATTTTCACAAGGTCTATTTTCTAGCATTCATTTTATTATGTTGCTTTTACCAAACAGGGCAATTGCAGAATATTTGTCCCGTGATCTTCCTTACAAGTTATCATTGGAGGATGTTTATCTCACAGCTGGTTGCACACAGGCTATTGAAATAACACTGTCGATTTTGGCTCGGCCTGGTGCGAATATCTTGCTTCCAAGACCGGGGTTTCCAATTTATGGACTTTGTGCCGCATTTAGACAGCTTGAGATTCGGCATTATGATCTTGTTCCCGATAAAGGATGGGAGGTTGATCTCGAAGCTGTTGAAACTCTGGTTGATCATAAAACTGTTGCAATGGTAATTATAAATCCAGGGAATCCATGTGGAAATGTCTACACATATCAACATTTAAAGAAGGTTGGTGTGGATTTTGGGCACCCTTTTCTGTATACAAATGCTTATTGATATGATGCTATGCTAAAAACCTTTGTGCACCGAAATTAGATTGCTGAAACTGCGAAGAAACTTGGTGTAGTCGTAATTGCTGATGAAGTTTATGGTCACCTTGCTTTTGGGGCTAATTCTTTTGTTCCCATGGGGGTTTTTGGATCCATTGCACCGGTGATTACTCTTGGGTCTTTGTCAAAGAGATGGTTAGTGCCTGGTTGGCGCCTTGGCTGGTTGGTTATGAATGATCCTGATGGGAGCTTGAAATCCCCAAAGGTTTGTTCTAATGGACAAGTTTTTTATCTTATTTGATAAATATGGATAAATAGACACCGACCATCACTTCCGGTTTCTGTTTTTTCTCTTTCAGTTTGTCGAGCGTCTTAGTAAGTACTGCGACATTTGTGGAGGTCCTGCAACCTTTATACAGGTTTGCACTTTGGCTTTCATATGCTAGTCCAGTCGTTTTTTACCTATTATGAACTGAACCATGCGAATAATTCATGCGCGAGCCATGAGTGTTTAGTTTCTTTGATTCATGTGCCAGGCAGCAGTTCCAACTATTATTGAGCAAACTCAAGAGGTGTTCTTCAGAAAAACCATCAACTTGCTTAAGCAGACTTCAGATATATGTTTTGAAAAGATTAAGGAGATTCATTGCATAAGTTGCCCTTATAAACCAGAAGGGTCAATGGCTATCATGGTAAGTAATACATGCAATATGTAGATTCTCATAATTGAAATCGGAGCTCGAATTATAGAGAATTCATGTCTCTTTTAGTAAATTGCTTGCTTTCAAAAATTTAGGTGAAGCTGAATCTTTCCCTGCTGGAAGATATTACCAGTGACATTGACTTCTGTTTCAAGCTGGCCAAAGAGGAATTGGTAATAATTCTTCCAGGTATGCTTGGTGTGCAGTACTAGACAAGACATGATAATACAGTATACAAGAATTTAGCTCCTTCTCTTTCTTACCTTACCAAAAAATGTTGTCAATGTAGTAAGCTCTTGGAGGTAGGCTGTCTAAACTAAGAACTGTTGGGAAAAATCGCCTCGAACGCAGGAATTGCGATTAACGACGAATTGAAATAATAAAGATCACAAGAAAAATAACAAGATTAAAGTAAAGAAAATAGAGGAGAAATTGGCAGAGGAACCGA